TCTGGAGTCTTGGGTTCAGGGTCTGGAGTCTTGGGTTCAGGGTCTGGGGTCTCTCCAGTAAGAACTTCAACGACTTCTTCCATTTGCTCATCTTTCTGGAGATCCTGAAAAATACCAGACACGTTGGTTTGTCGGCGCCTGATGATGGAAGGAAATAATCAGAGTATTTGTTGAGAACTTGTGGATGTGATGCTGATCCTGAACCGTAAATGGACTGTACTTCTACAGCTCCTTTCTATCTTATTTCAAGATACTCGAAGCTCTTTACAACAATCTGTGCCTCATTCACCCATTCATACAGCTCTATACTAGATCTCTACAGAGATAATTGAACAAATCATTCTAATGAGACTAATCAGAGTTTTATCACATTCATACACCGATGGGACACACATCAGAGGCTATGAGGGGTTCAGTGTCTTGCCCAGGGACACTTCGACATTTGACTGCTGGTGGATTCGAACCCCCAACTCTCGCATTGGAGGACGACTGCTCTAACCACTGAGCTACAGCCGCCCAACGTGTGACATCCCTCCGAGTGGTCTCTTCTGTGTGACTCGTGAGCAGAGTTTAGCAGTTTAAAAGTGACTCGTTGGAACAATAGACCTCATTCGATAAACAATGACTTCAGCTGTAAAAATACTGCAGGATGTTTAGTTTTTACTTTTAATCTTTCAAAAACGTATAATCTGATTTTATGGTTTTTGTTAAATCCTCCATTAGTAAAATTCTCTTCAAAAGCAGCTTTGAGTAGATTGGTCGACACATTGACAGATTAGTCTCCACTACAACTGAATTACCATGTGTTCCCAGAATGCATTGCACCAGTAAAACAATGGTGACATCTTTAGTTCAGTTTATGTTAGTGCTCGCATTAAGTGTGTAAATTACAGCAGAACAGAACCTGGGAGAACCTTGGGAGTGGTGGCGCAGAGGTTGGAGAAAATGGGCCTGTGATTGGAAAGTCGCAGGTTCAACTCCTGGTACAGTCAAAAGCAAAATGTGGGTGGAAAAGGTGGAACACCCACACCTGCCTCCACCCTCATTCGCCCACTCTGGGCCCCTGAGCAAGACCTTTAACCCCCACCACCTGCTCCCTAACAGGTCTCTCTTGAAAATGAGTTCTCGTGACTCGGAGACGACCCGGATAAATATGAGAATCGTGCGGGTGTTCAGCGTTTAGTTTCAGACCGTTGGTGACCGACAGATATCTCAGATCTTTTAGCGTACCGTTTGTTCAGCCGCTCATATCTTAGTTGATATCTTAGACCCTTATTCACTGTTTCTTTATATTTTTGGTGTTGTTGGGTGTAACTGGGACCCCGTGTACAGTTTTGTTCCACCTCATGTACCACGTGTGATGAGAATGACAGATTCTTGAATCCTTGAGGTGAAAAATGGAACAAGCACGTACATTTTTTTAAATGATTAGATTTCACGTGTCACAAACAACATTTAGAAGAAGGGAGAATTAAATATTAAGGCTGATATGTGCAATAATCAGATCCTTCAAAACTTTAAAAACAACTTGTTCTTTCTCATGTTCACAACTGAACGCGGACTGTCTAGATGTTCTGGACTGAACCGACTGCTGATCCTAGGAGTGATGAGGACACCAGTGGACAACCCTCATGTGATCTGCTTCATTACCTCCTCAGGACGCTCCGTGGCGTCCTCGTGTCCAGCTGAAGCCTCGTCCCTGTGGACACAGTCTCTGTTAGGTCCACTTCAAACCAAGGAGGATCTAGCAGAACTAGGGCAGGTGAACTTACAGCAGGGAGTCCTCCTGGCTCTGTGTGTACTGAGTGAAGGTGGTCGTGTCCAGAGAAGCGTCCAGGTTGTTGTACATGGCAGGAATGTCAACCCTGAGTCAAACAAAGCACCACTAAACACCGCAGCTCGTCAGGCTTTACAGTCATTGTAGAACAAACACCAGTCTTCTGACCTTTTGGTTCGTTTCACCTCCTTCTGGTGCTCGGTCAGAACCCGCTCCTTCGTCTCAGGAGGAATGAAGACGAAGTCCACCGAAGCTTCGTCCTCCAAAAACTTCCTGCTCGGTGGTTTGGGAGAACCAAAGTCCAGCTTTGTCTACAAAACAATTCAAATGATCTTTAAAGAAGTGTGAGCTGAAGAAAAGAAGCCAGCACATCAGAAGGTAAAGGTGGGACGAGAGAAAGTCTGTGGACCCATGAAGACCACACCAGAAGATAGAAAAAAGGAATAATGGAGACGTAGGACTCAATTTACACAATCAACCGGTGCATCAACTCGTCAGGTGTTGTATCAGGACGTGTTTCCCACTGAGATGTTTCCACACCTACACTGTCCAATCATCAGGACGCGTTTCTGCTGCTACTTCACAGAAACGGTCCGAGATGTTTGGCTCTTTGAAACACAGCTGCTTCAAACCACAGAGGTTCAAAACAACGTCTGGTGAAGACGGTGGGAGGGACCAGTCTGACCAGTTTGACAACACCAGCTTCCATTAAATCAAATACAGACCCAGAGTCTCGTCTAAGTGTCCTCCAACGTTCATCTCAGGCAGAAGACCAGGACTCAGCAGCAGCTTCACGCGCTTCGTTCTCAGATGGAGAGCACGACGAGCACGTTGCAGAAGGTTCAAGCACTTTCATCAAATCAACCTGGCTCCATCTTATATTACAGATCTTATTGTTCCATATTTTACTAACAGAGCACTTCACTCTCAGACTGCAGGTTTACTTGTGGTTCCTAGAGTTTACAAAAACAGAATGGGAGGAAGATCTTCCAGTTCTCAGGCTCCTCTCTTGTGGAACCAACTTCCAATCTCTGTCCATGAGGCTGACACATTGTCCAGTTTGAAGACTTTCCTTTTTGATAAATCCTACAGTTAGGGTCGGCTTGGGTTTCTTAAGTTATCTCTTAGTTCTGCTGCTATAGGCTCAGACTACTGGAGGACAAACTGACCACATGCCATCTCTCTGCTGCTGACGTTACTTTACTCTACGCGTTTGTAATTATTTCTATCTTAACATGTTTTTTTTCCTCCTATAGAAACCACACCCGGACTATATAAACCACACCCGGACTATATAAACCACACCCGGACTATATAAACCACACCTGGACTACAGAAACCACACCTGGACTACAGAAACCACACCTGGACTACAGAAACCACACCTGGACTACAGAAACCACACCTGGACCTGTCATTCTGTGTCTGTTTCTACTTCCTGTCCTCTCAGACCCAGCCGGTGAAGCTGCTCGTCCTGAGCCTGGTTCTGCTGGAGGTTTTTCTTCCCACTGTCTCCTCTGTTCTTGCTCAGGATGAGAGACTGTGACGAAGAGAAGATTCAACTCCACCTGCTGCTTCCTCAGATGGAGAACTTTAATAACGGTATTTTATAAAGTATTTGATGTTTTTGTACAGAGACCTGAGACGACTTCAGTTGGGACCTGGAGCTGCAGAAATAAACTGAACTGAATGTTCTAGTCAGCCTTAGGTACTCTTGACATTTGGACCCTGCTGACCTTCAGAAACGTTTGGTAACTCGTTGGGTCTTAGCACTGACTGGCAGCAGTGAACACCGCAGGTGGTGTCACCGCAGGTGGTGTCTGTACGACAGATTGAATGCGTAGGTGGAGCTCGTGGAGCTCGTCACACGTGGTGCTGTGAATAAAAGGTGAAAATCCAGGAACTGTGACTCTGGTCCATTACGAAGCATCCGCTGCCGTTAGAACGTGCTCACCCTGAAACACGAGCTCAGGTTGAACCTACCGATACTGGCTTGGGCGTCTTGATGAAGCTCCTGGCGGTCTCAGCGGCACCGTCCAGCAGCGAACTCTTCTTCCCAGAAGAAGAAAGGGGCATCCCGCTGAGCTGCGTCTCCATCTGAGAGCTTTCATTCTGAACACGAGGAAAGAGCTGAGTCAAACTGAAAGACGGACAAAAGACCAGTCAACAGCCGAGGTTTACGGAAACTCACTGAACACGTTCCACTGAGCTCCTCTGGAACGCCGACCGCCTCAAAACCAGGAAGGACGAGGGGAGTCTTCTGAACCACTTGGCTCAGAACAGGCCTGTGAGAAGCAAACAGCAACACTGAGTGTTTTCCAGAGGAAGGCCTCGGTGAACACGGCCTCCCCGCTTTACCTCATCTCCTCGGGGTACGACAGGCTGACGGCGTTGGTGAACGTGGCGTTCCAGAACTGCGTGACCGACGAGCGCAGGTGCTTGTTCTTGTGAGGAAACAAGACGCAGAGCAGAGGCGACAGCAGAGCCAGCAGCTCGTCGTCGTAGGCCAAAGCAGATCGGGTCTGAAGACAGCCCAGGATCTCACCGAGCAGCTTCTCCAGCTGCAAGAGGGAACGAGACGTTGCTTCATTTGTTTTAGACAAACCTGCAAAGTCTACTGGGACTCTGAGCCGACCTTCTCCAGAAGATGAGCGGAGAATGTGGGCGTCGTGGCTTGTTTGTAGAACAACGCCAGAGGCTGGATCAGAAACTTCAGAGCCTCTTTGACGGCGTCGACGAGAGCAAGGTTGTTGAAAAGAGCCGACAGGATGGAAACCAGCGCCAGCCCCGTCGCCTCAGGAGAACCTTCCGGGGCTTCCAGGTAGACCTGCAGACACCGTACCAGCTGGGAGTGAAACGTGGACAGGTTCCCCAGAGCTCTGTTCTGCTTCCGTGTCCAGTTCATGGGCGTGTGGGGAGCTGCAGGGAAACGACACACATGAGCACAACTTCTACGAGACGTGCTGAAGGAAAGCACGGCAGGTTCGAGCTCTTACACTTTATTTGCTGCTGGAAGTGAGGAGTGTACGGAGAGAAGTCCACACACTCCACCATGACCTGCAGGATGCTGGCGATGAAGTTTAACGTTGACGGAACCTGCAGGATCAGAGCGCAGCAGCAGCTTTAAAGCATCTCCAACACGTCTGGTCAGAGAACATCTTCAGAACGTCAACACGTGTTCAGGTTGAACGGACTCACCATCAGCTCCTTCTGGTCCACCGCTGCTGTAATCTTTGTACAGAGCTCCTCGCAGCAGATGTTCTCCCCCGCCGTGACCACAAGAGCTGAGCAGCGAGCAAACACCTTGTACAGCTTGGACCAAGAAGACAGCATGGACTTCTGGGCTGCCTGGACAAACAGCAAAAACCCAACGGGCGGATCTAAGAGGGCACCTTCAGCTGACGGCACCAACGGTTAAATAAGAACGAGGAGAACGGACCTGTGGGAGAACATCACCGCCAAGGAGGTGTGTGATGGGGAACATGAGAGCAGCGTGGACTGCACTGAAGTTGTGCTCCAGAGCGTCGCCCTGGTTGACTTCATTAGACTGGAAGAAAGCAGGAGATGAAGGCGTCGCATTAAACGGTGACATGTTCCGAGCTGGGATGGACAAGAAAACCATTAATCTTCCACCAGTTCAAAGAAAACACTTCCCAAGCTGACGGAGGGAAGGAAGGAGGTGGGTACGTCAGCTGGTCCCATGGATGCTAGGTAGACACAGATGGTCAGTAAGTAGGTAGGGTCCATCGGTGGGTAGACATGGTTGGTTAGTAGGTTGAAAGGTTTGCTGGTTGAGTGGCAGGTAAGATAAACGAGTGGATCCTCTGTCATCACTTGATCATTCAAAGACTCCTGCTGACCAGGTGACCCTTGTTAGAGACCGTGACCTCAGTGGGTTTTAGATCGTTTTACAAAGTCAACTATCACAACTTTTGTCAGTTTAAGTTGTCCGAGTGACCATCGTGGGTTTATGCAACAACTTCAACATGTAGATGTTTATCATTTCTATTTTGTTCACATTTAAATGAGTTTGATCAGATCAGCTAAATTTATTCTACCGACACTTTGAACTACGTTAACCAACACGGTAAAGATCAAAGCTGAAGGAAACGTGCTGCCAAGTGTCTGTTACTGGTATTTGTCTTCAAAGTGTGTGAGGTTAATCACAAATCAATCATCAACATAAAGTTTTTATACGGTTTAAATGTCCGTCTGTCTCACACTAGTTTTTCACAAATCAAAGGTCAAACGTCATTCGGCCTCTGGCCCATTCTTTGCTACAAAAGTTGATCCAGTGCGTTGACACTGACCATCATCACCCAGACTGGTCCCTCTCCAGCACCTCCTACCTGTGTGATGGTGTCAGTGAGCGGGATGACCATGAGGCTCCACATCCTCCACAGGTGCTCTTTGTTGTGCAGCAGCCTGGCACTCTGACCGATGGTTCCCAGCACAGACTCTGCAAACGCCAGCGGTGAAGTGGGGCCCAAAAGGCTGCAGGACACGAGCGTCTGGAGGGACTGAAAGAACCTGAAGACACGAGACCACTCAGGAATGAAAGAAC